GATTCAGATCTCTTTGAAAATAGTTAATTGACCATTGGGACCAGTGGATAACATCTCCAGGGTAATGATACTAGCATTATTGTGCTAGTACCACATCAAGTATAGATATACAAAACACTTGAAAATGATTACATATCTTGTCCAAATTCTATTGGCTAAATATTCAGTATAAGCATATGATTAACTTGTTGATACTAAGATTTGGGATTTCAATTGTATTGCCACTCAGGCTGCGTCTAGACTGGCATGATTTTGTGCAAATACTTTTAACGGAAAAGTTTTTCCGTTAAAAGTATTTGCGCAAGAGAGCATCTATACTGGCATGTGCCTTTGCACAAAAGATTTGCTTTTACGCAAAAGCATCCATGCCAGTGTAGACGCTTTCTTGCAGAAGAAAGCTCCAATGGCCATTTTAGCCATCAGGCTTTCTTGCTCAAGAAATCAACTTGGCTGTCTACACTGGCCCTCTTGTGCAAGAATATTTGCACAAGAGGGCTTATCCCTCAGTGGGATCATTGGAGTATTTAGGCAAGAACCACTGATTATGTACAGTACAAAGTCAGTATTCTTGCACAAATACTCGTGGCCAGTGTAGACAGGCAGCAAGAATGTGCGCAAAAGCAGCTGCTTTTGTGCAAATTCTTGCCAGTCTAGACGCACCCCCAGTGTATTAGTTCAATATATTATCCTTGTAGTCTACAAAAATGAACCATTCACGCAGCACATACAAAAAAGAACCATTTAGTGCCGTCCTTTGATTTCTTGTTGGGGACAGTATCTATCTACTGATGCAAACTGACATACAGTATACATGGTGTATGTCCTTTTAGTGTAACAAGAATTTCAAAGTTCATTTTATGGTTCACATAAAATGCAAGGGGGGGGGGAATTCTGCACCCTTGAGCACTCACAACTTTTTCATACTTTTTTCTGTCATAAGTACTTTATATCTCTTTTCAGTTCAGTGAACTCTTTTAAGTAATAAAATTATATAGGGCACCAATCAATCAATCTCTTCAATATTTCCTTTCATATTAATTCTTTTGACATCTGTATTTCTACAGACCCATTCATATTTATATAAAATAGGACACAATAATAATGTTGATAATTTCTTATTCTAATTAAGCAAACTTTATTTATAAATAAAAATGCAGCATTCATGTGGAATTTATGAGAGACTTCTGGGCCTTAAAGATTAAGATGAAATATTGTACATCAAGATATAGATGGATATCGCCAGCCATTTTGGATAAAGTGCCAGAAACACTGACAAAAATAAGTTGAGTTTAAGTCTTCACCAGAGTCTCCCCACAGAGTTGGGGTAATACCCTCCGAGCAGAGTAACAGATGCAGGTAAGTGCTCAAGTCTGAAAGAGCTGAGTTACAGTGACTAATCAGCACCCAGGAATATAGTTCAAAATATGCCCCAAACTCCTGATAAATCCATCTTACTCGGTATAAAAGTGTTACAGAGAAAAATCTGGTAAGTTCACTCTCTTCATCGATGAAAAAGAGATGTTCGTTTCCACCCCCCATGTGTTCACAATTATTGACATGGGGTTTGATAACAAAAGAGGGCTTTAGTATAATAAATAAGATTTAAATGATTACAAGTCAAAACAGACAGATCAAAATAAATTACTAAGCAAAAATAAACAAAAACACACCAGCTAAGCCTAATAGCCTAAGAGAAATTGTTACAAAACATTATTCCTCACCCTAATCCTTATTTCAGGTAAAATTCTTCAGAAGCCAGAGCTGGTCTTTTTCTCTGGCCTGGGCATTGCAATGCTTTTCCGCCCCTCTCAATACAATTTGCTTTTTTCCCCAGGTGTTATTGGTATCCTCTTAAGGTGGAGAGGCAGTTTCAAAATCCAGACAATCATTCTTTGCTTCCTGTTCCTTAATTAGAATTTTCCCAGAGTAGGAATCCTTTGTTCAATTCTCTTTCCTCCTCCCCATCCTCTAAAAACACCAAATTCAAGACTGATTCCAGCACTTAGTGGCATGGTCACATATTCTTGTAGGACCAACCAGTTTAGGCTCACAGGAAAAAACAAAGCCCTTCACAGATCATTGTCTTGAATACCGGGACATAAAGTTCCTTAATGACCAATAATGGCTTTCACAAGAAGACCAAGATTAATAAGCAGGTTCAAACTTCATATTTCTAACTTCAGATACAAGAAAAATACATGCACACAAATCAGATATACATATTCAAGAGATAACAAACTCTTGGACAGGTTCCTTGTTCTACTTTACATAAAATATTTGAGTCATGCTTAGTCACATTCAAAATATATTTCCATAAAAATAGGGGGTGCATAGCATGAAAAGGAGATCTAAAACCAGATCCTTTTCTCACATCTGGCCTATTTGCTTTAATCATAAGAACATAAGCTTGGCTGTACTGAGTCAGACCAGTGATCCATCTAGCCCTGCATCCTGTCGTCTTACAGTGCAAGATGCTTCAGAGGGAATGAACAGAATAACACAATTTTGAGTGATCCATCCATTGGCATCTAGTTCCAGCTTTTTGCAGTTAGAAGTTTAAGGGTACCTTGAGTAAGAGGCTGTGTCCCTGGCCCATGTTGGCTAATAGCCATTGATGGATCTATCCTGGGGTTGGGCAAATACTGGCCCGCAGGCCAGATCCAGTTCCTCAGGGTTACCCTCTGACACCGCTGCCACTATATTTACCTGCCACTCTGCAGGTATGCATGATTGCAGCACCTCTTGGCCACAGATCACCATTTGCAGCCTGTGGGAAGTATTGTCCCAGGCTGTGCCACTTCATGAAGCTCCCATTGGCTGGGAATGGAGATCCACAGCCCCTATGGAGCTGCAATTGCCACTCATTTTACCTCTTCACTGTTTATTCCCACATTCGTAGAATGTGGTGTACCGGTAGTTCGAATTGGAGAGCCTAATTCGAACTACCTACTCCGTGCCGCGTGTAGCCACAGGCACGGAGTCCGCACTAAGGGGGATTTAAAAATGGTGGCACCCGGCAAGATGCAAATGAAGCCCGGGATATTTAAATCCCGGGCTTCATTTGCAACTTCGAATGCCTACATTAGCCACCCTAGTTTGAAGTAGGGTGGCAGTGTAGACATACCCTTACTGATCCACGAGAATACTTTCTCTCTTATCTTAAGAGACTTTGATGATGATCCTTTCCCATGGCTTTCTGAAAGCCTAACACATGATATTAAATGGATCACTCTTGTCCACATGATTGTTGCCCCTTTACTAAAAAAATCCTAATTCGTTAGTGAGGCATGATTCCCTTAAAAAAAAAAAGCTATGTTGATTCTTCCCCATCATACTGTTTCAGAAGTTGACATGTTAGTCTGTAAAAACAAGAAAAATCATACATCTGAAGAAGTGAGCTTCAAATTACGAAAGCTTATGCCATAATAAAATTGTTAGTCTTTAAGATGCCACCGAATTCCTGGTTGTTTCCAATATATTGTGTTTTTCTATGCATCTGATTATTCTGTTCTTTACTATAACTTCAACCAATATGTCTGGTACTAAAGACAGACTTGCAAGCCTGTAATTGCCAGCATCTTCTACAGTATAAGACTGAAGCAAAGAATTTCTTTAGCTTCTCCTCAATGGCCTTGTCATCTTTGAATGCTTTTTTTAGCACCTCAGTCATCCAGTAGCTCCCGTTGACTGTTAGGCTTACTGCTTCTGCTGTACCAAAAAATAAAATCTGCTCTTTTTTGGTTTTAGTTAGTTGCCCTTAAAATTCTTGGCCTGCCTTATTATACTTTTACTCTTGACTTACCACCGTTTATGCTCCTTTCTTTTTTTCTCATTAGGATTCAACTTCCAGTTTCTAAAGCAGGGGTACTGGAACAATTTGGATAGTGGTAGTACAATTTGGATAGTGACAGCCAAACTGTAAACCTGCTACAGCTTCCCCTCCCTCATCCTTCCCTATTTCTAGAACGTATGTTCTAAAGAATGTTTTAAACCTGTGGTATCCAACCAGTTCTGAATTAGCCACACTCAACCAGCCAAATAGCTACATATGGCTAGTGGCTAGCATGTTGGATACCACAGTAATCTAAACCCAGATTCTTTTAGCCTGTAATTGACTATTTCTCTACTATTTAGCCACAGTGGCCTTTCTTTTGTTCTCTTATTTTTAAAGATATTGGTGTAAACATTCATTTGAGCCTCTATCAGGGTGTTGTTAAGTAGACCCCATGCAGCTTGTAGGCATTTCTCCTTTGACTTTTCCCTTTAATGTCCATTTCACTAGCTTCCTCATTTTTGTGACATTCCCTTTTAGAAAGTTAAGTGCTAATTGCTTTCCTTCATGTGCTCTATTTACATTTGACTGATCATCACTTGCTTCTACCTGTATTTTACCAACTTCTTTCCTGTCCTCTTTTCTAAGATATAGGGTTCCCCTATTATAAACTCATCCCTAAGGGACTGTGCCTGCCTCAGTGCTGTGCTCCTCTGTATCTTAAGCTGTGCCACCTCTCGCTGTAACCCCTCCTTCTCCTCACTCACACTGCGGAGCACGCTGAGAAATAGCCATCTGGCCTGACGCACTCCCTTATCCTTCTTGTGGACATCCAATGCCTCCAGCCCCTTTTGGATACTAGCGGGACTGACCCCATCAGCTAGCTCCCCCTCAAACTGCACGGCAGGCGTCACATCATACCAAAGTTGAGCTACCGAAGCCCAGGCTGATGTGCACAGCCAGCCTGGAATTCGATGCTCTGCCCTACTACCTCCCAAGCCCATCTGCTTCCCTTTCTTCCACATGCTGAGAAGTTTGTACCAAGAGAACCCTGCTCGCTGCGCCAAATGTAGCCGGACAGAGGAAGTCTAAAGTCCGACACTGGGTTCCCAAAGTACAAAGGACACCACACAGGTATCTGTCAAGCACAAACAGTTTATTTCTTGACAGCTAACAGCTGTGCCCCATAGATGGAAGAACAATATAACAAAGAAGCGGCATATCTTACAGCCCTTCCTGCAAGCCTAGGACTCCGGGTAGACTGTGGATGAAGTGGGAGGTTGTCTCAGTTTCCGAGGCGCTGGTATCCAAAGCCCATCAGCGAAGTCCGATTTGCTAGGCTCTGAGGCAGCCTTAAATACAGTGTTCCTGCCTTGTTTGGCAGTTTGGAAATTTCCAGGGCTTACTCATTAGTGCTGATGTAGGACTTAGCTGTTAGTTATCGATCTGGTTCTGATCTGGTTCTTTTTGTCCTTTGGCCCTGTTTACGTGATCAGTGCGTTAGGGTAAACAGAATTGTTCTTGTGCTTTAACCTTATCTTATACTTGTTCTTGCTATGCTGGCAACAATGCTTATCTTAAATGGCGTATGTTCCCAAAGGCTTGCGTCTGGCTCATCAGATATAGGGGAAAGGGAAAGTGGGGAAGGAATGCAGGCCTCAGCATCCCTAAACTAACTGAAAGGACAAACAACAGCTGTTTGATCAACTATGTTGGAAATTTATAAAATGTAATGAAAGGTTAGGAAATATAATAGGTACTTGTTTGTATATGTTTAAGAGGATATCTCCAAATCACCGGTGATATTTATTAATGGTTATCATTATTTACTAATATAAAACATAGCTAGAAAATGCACAATAAAAATAAATATGTAACTATAAGGACATACATACATAAACAGCTAGCTTCTTTGTATAATAGATGCATTGTAAATATATGAGAGGACTCTTTTATTCTTTAATGGGTAAATCTATGTAGGGTTGCTTTCCCCATCTCTTTTTTCAGTAATAAAAGAGAGAAACAAAATGTTCATTTTGATTAAGTGTTACTTTCTCTAAAATTACATTAGCGGATAGCTACTGTCTAGTGGGTAATACAAAAATATGAATATTTCTTGTGAAAATGCAACTATTTTTACCTCTCCCCATTCTGGAATTAGGATATTGTTTCCTTCTCCTCTTAAACTACTTCACATAAATTGAATTTATCCTACATTACTTGTAGTTATTACAAGAAGGAATCCTAATGAATGCTGCAAAGTCATTCTTGAAGATGAATTATCACAGCAATGCAAGTTAATTTCATATTTTTATTTAGAACTGATGCTTCTTTTAGAAGGTATGCTACTAAAAGATATAATGAGCAGTGATCCCATAGGAACTTCAACGGACCCAGGCTCTTAAACAGTTTTTGCTATAAGAAGTGTTTTATCTTTTGGGATATCACTTCTTTAATGACTACATTATATTAGAAATAAATTTTCAGAGAATTATCAGCTCAGCAGAATGAGGAAGGATAAGATGTTCTTACTGCCAGTAGATCTTTCCTAAGTAACTCTGAAAACAGTGTAGAGCCTATAATTGTATTGCCTTTCCAATGTATAGAATAGATAAACTATAGGGTACACTTAAAACTGTTCTACAATTTCAGACCTGAGGACAATTATTAGAATAAGCAATGAAGATGTGGATCACCAATCTGAAAACATTAAATTAAGCATTCTTAAATTGTGTTTATCTTAATCTGGCCTTTTTTTCTTGAGTGATAATCAACTCTTTGCTGATGGTGTGTTATCTTTCTATAGTCATGAGACTCAATTATGCTTTATCTTACAAACAGTTAAATTGTGCTACCTATCCTAAAGTTTCAGGATGGAAATTATTTTATAGCACTTGAGCACTGATCATGCTACAGACTCCTCAGTTCCATTGAGGACTATTACATATGTCTGGATTTCATAAATTACGAGTTCTTTATTTTTCAAATAAATGAAGATCATCATTATTCAGAATTGTGTCATCTATGAAAGATTTGAATTCAAAATCATCTTATATCCACACTTGCATGCATGTCCAATTAACATAAAAACATTTTATGAAATAGGTTTTAATCTATCATGTCTCATACACATTACAGAATGGCTAATTTAATGCTGTAATTTTCTGTTTATATTTTACATTAATTAACATTAAAATGGACTACATGAATTGAATGAGACACTTTGCTTTTTATTGCTATGTGTCTAAAGAATTAATTTTAGCCTTTTAACAACGCCAAGTTTGTCATTTGTGATATAAGTGCTGCAAACTGAGAGAAGTGAACAGAAGAGTAGAAAGTTCCTATGGCTTTCAAATATAAAATAGTATATTTGAGAATAAAACAGACTAAAATTCATTCTGGATATAACTCAAAGTAGAGCAGAAAGAAAAATTTGAAAAAAACCCAGAATTATTGTCTGTCATTTTAATATAGAATTGAAATACTACATATTAGAAATATGCAATCAAGCAAAACCATTACTATATTTTCAGTTAATTAGGTTATGAATACTGACAAACATAATTTTAAAAGTAAAATATGAAAGCATTATGGATAATTTATGCAAATGTACATGAATACTGTGGCAATCAGTATGACATTTGAGCTATACCAATCTGTGTCACCTAAGGATCTTTACAGCTGATCTACTAAGTTCAAAAGCAATCATGAATACCAATTTCAATGTTTAGTTTTAGTGTCTTGGTTCACAGATAAGAACTATCACCCATAGTATTTTCTTCTTATTATCTGTAATCCATTTTAATCCAACAATTTTCAGTTTATCTTTCTAATATTTCTGGTGCTGCTTGTATTATAGTTTTTACTTTTATGATAACAAGCTCTGAATATTTCATAATTTGCCCATTTATTATGTTGTCAGCATCATTATTTCCCTCTATTAAATTCAAATACATTTGTATTTCATGAAAGTAACAAGTATGTGCTGCAGGTATGTTTATAGCAAAATATGGCATCCACCAAGAGATTACATATTGAGATGTAACAGCTTTTAACAGAACTATAACACACACACACACACACACACACACACATATATATATATATATATATACATAAATAAGATCCTTTAAAAATCAGCTAAAATTTGACTGAGCTACCACATATACATTGAGAGTGGGATTTGCAAAAATACTTGGGTCCAGATCTTCAAAGGTATTTAAGTGCCTAACTCCCATTGATTTCAGGTAGTTAAACATCTTTCAGAATCTAGGTCTCAACATTCAATAGTTTGTTCCCACTGAAATCAACATGAGCGTTATCATTTATTTAAGCAAAAGAATTAGTCCAATGCTGCCTATTTTTAAAAAAATTATACACCAAATGTTCCATGTATCTGAAATTGAATTGAGCATAAAAGGAAAAATAATCAGTTTACTTTTCTTTTCCAGTATTTTCTTTAAAAAACAAAATTTTAAAAGAATCTATTTAAATAAAGAAACAAAACAAAGAGGGACATTTTTATTTAAGTACAATACCAAAACACTGTTTATTTTTAGTGATGATTTACATACCTACATGCTTATATTTAGATCCCTGTAAAATAGAATCCAGATCTGAAACATTGCAGGTTTGATCCATATCAGAAAAATCATCCAAGTTTATCCATTAGCAAAATGGAACACAACCAACATGTTTGAAAAGAAACTACACAAAATCTGCAAGATCAACACATAATCTAGTGTCAGCTTAGAGCAGAGCTACACATGCAGTCTGCGGCCCATTTGTTTGCAGCCCATGGTGCAGTTTGGGTTTATGCAGGGCTCAACATGCGGCCGACGGGTGGGAGCCAAAACAAAACAGTAGCCAATATAATGGTCTTCTGTTGTGTTTTAGTGTTAAATTCCTGGACTGTCATTGCTCATTAAAAGTGCTGTCATATGGGTGGAAATCGGGTAAATGTTGCATTTTATTAATAACAGCGGAACTGACTTAAATGGGGCCTGTGTATTGTGTAGTCTTGCCTTAATCTTTCTATTCATGCCGGTCAGTGTGAAAGCAGCTACTTGCATATATTTTTGCTCGTATATGCAACCACACTTAAGCTGCAGTCCTTGGCATGTGCTTTGAGTATTATTGTGGTCTCTGAGGCTTCCAAAGTTGAGTAGCCCTGCCTTAGAGACTAACAAAAATATATAGTGTCATGAGCTTTCATGGGTAAAACCCACTTCAGCAGGGCTAGGTCTAGACTGCAAGCCTCTTTCGAAAGAGGCTCTTTCGAAAGATACTTTCGAAAGAGCCTCTTTTGAAAGAGAGTGTCTAGACTGCACGTTGAACTTTCGAAAAAGCGGCTTGCTTTTTCGAAAGAAAGCATCCAGTGAGTCTGGATGCTCTCTTTCGAAGAAGCCCTATTTACATTGAAGAACGCCTTCTTTCGAAAGAGGAACTTTCGAAAGAAGGCGTTCTTCCTCGTGAAATGAGGTTTACCGCCATCGAAAGAAAAGCCGCGTTCTTTCGATGTAATTTCGAAAGAACGCGGCTTGAGTCTGGACGCAGGTGAGGTTTTTTCGAAAAAAGGCTACTTTTTTCGAAAAAACCCGAGTCTGGACACAGCTCAGATGAGCTGGAGTGGAAATAACAGAAACCAAGATATTTATAATGGAAGAAAAAACCCTGACATTTGTAGGACTGCTGAAGCATGAGAAGGTCTAGAACACAGATCTCAAACCAAAACAAAACCTAGCTTCCTTGGTCTTTCTCTATTTTTGTGAAATTCTGCAATCTGTGAATGCACACCCACGCTTTGTCTGACAGTTATTTGTTTTATTATGTTTAAACTGAGAATTATTTACACTCCAATGCAAAATGTAAGCAATCAGTAATAATTATTTAGCTAGGTTAGGTTTAGGTGCTATTCAATAAATTCTAAGTACCAAAGATATGAAATAAAAGTGTGTGTGTCGGGGGGGGGGGTTCACCCTGAAAAAGATGATTAATTTAAATCTCTTTCACAGAAGCTGAGAATGGGTGACAGTAAATGGATCATTTAATGATTACCAGTTCTGTTCATTCTCTCTGATGTACCTGGCATTAGCCACTGTGGGAAAATAGGATACTGGGCTAGGTGGGATCTTTGATCTGACCCAGTACGGCAGATCTTATGTTATTTTATTTCCCACCAGAATAATACACAGTCAATTTATTGCAGAAGATCAGGTATTAGACTAAGTAGGATATAGAAGTGGAAACATGTTTGTTCAATGTTATTGGCACAAAGGCTGCTCACACTTATACGAGTACAATCCCAT